GACTAAACCCATGATCATTGGTTTAATCTTCGAGCCATTCCCAAACCCATCTTGCCAAGCCCCCCATTGTTGTTAGAACAAGTAAATATTTGTCACAATTCAATTTCATAAAATAACTCAGCGCACTTAATACGCTAATATTAAATAAATAAATCTCTCAATAAAAATTTTAATTACAATCATTCGAATCACCCCAAAAAAATAGATTAGTAATTCGACTTTAAAAAAATTATAACTTCTTTGACCAAACTCAATCCACCACTAATTTTAATTTTGAGCTTAACTTGCAACTGAAAGGATAAATGGAGGTGAACTTGGAAAAGCTCATGTAAGTAAGTTAAAACATAACATACGATGTCAAAGAGCGAAACGATAATTAATTAATTATCCGATAAACAATTGACGACACAAGAATTAATACAATAATTTATAAAGCACAAATATATTGAACATGTCAACGAATTTGAACATACGAATATTCAAATCACTCTTTGGCTAAACACTAGTCCATCTCAACAACATGCCAGACATCACTTGGTGCATTTCATACAATCATGTTCACTCCTCAAGGTCACAAACACGTAACACAATTAAGACACGACACCGAGTGTACCTCACGCACGAGTCAAAAAGTCTCAAGGATTTCACCAAAATAAATTATCACAACGATTATTGATTAGTCAAATGAAAATTATGATTGAATAACAAAATATCAACAATAAAACAGAATATCTTACTAAAACTCAAAAACAAATAATACCACAATTCGAATACGATTAAAACGATATAAAACAAATACTTTTTGCAAAGAGATTATTCAAAAATATATGCTATGAACTAAACCACTTACCAAAACTTTAATTGACACCATAAATATCCAGATTTTACTACCTAGAACAAGTCAAGAATTACATATCCCATGTAACTTGATAATCGAACCTCGGGGACTCACGGTATATTCACCTAGATCCCACTTATAATATAACACTCTTGTGGTGCTTTTGTCATGCATAAAAATTACCTTACTCTTACTCATCTCCCTCCACATTCCCTTTGTTTTACACGTTGCATAGCCAAAGCCAATTCATATGCATGGCTGCCACCATCTCCTTCCTTCTTTTTATTTAGCTCTTTGTTTTTCTTCACTTAAACAACACAAGACACACCACGTATGCATTGTCATGCTTAAAGAACATGAGTCATTTACCTATTGTCTCCATTGTGTTCTATGTTTCACACCACTTACCTCACTTCCTCCTCACACTTATCAACTAGAAATGTTTTTTTTTTCTTACTCGACAAATTTGGTCCTAATAAAATTTGTAATAATCAAATGTTTCATAATTAAAATCTAACATATAATTTCACGTCGAGTAACGTACATATAATTTCTAAAAATATCATAAGACCCATAAAATCTTAATTATTTAATCTCTTTTAAGTCGACCCAGTTGTCAAAGGTACAATATCATGTCTTATCAAAAACATAAGTGTAACCTCAAAGCAAATTTAACTAATAATAAGGAAAAATTATAAATATAAACGTCCTGAGTTTTAAATTTGGCAATCCCTTTAAGACATACCGTGAGAAATTTATCCCTCATGAATATTCTAGTCCCCGGATGAATGACTTATCTCTAATCAGACCAAGGAAATGATTAGTCAACGTACGCTTAAATTGATTTAGACACCCCTAACTATTAAACAAAAAAAACAACGTGAATAATAAACGCCCCAATGTCTTAACAGCAAGGGTAAGACTAACGGACTGACTCCGGTGCATTATAGTTTTTTGAATCAATCAAACAAAGACAACTAAGCGAAAAAAAAAGAAAAGAAGAAGTTTGGATCGATTACAAATAGACCCGGCCCATTTATTTGCATCTTGCCCCGAAAGAGCTATAATTTAATTCTCAGTATCGTACCCGTATTCTTACCCTAACATCCAAGTTTATTTTGCCTAAAAGAATGGGAAAGTAGATTAGATTTTGCCTTGTCCTTGGAGCTGCTTGTTGGAACAGAGCATATATATCTCTGATACTATTATGTATTCTTCCTGTTTCTTTATTAGACGATGAAAGATAAAGCCCGGTCAAGTTAAACATTATCCTGTAAATCCAAGTGACTGAAGTGAGATTATTTGCAAAATTCTGGTATGTATAGTCAATATAAAGATTACATTTTCTGGACCATTTGTTTGTACGACCAATTTAGTCATAAACCAAAACAATTGTTGAATCGTTTTTCACACCAGAATTCTATAACCATTTTTTCTCTTGATCTTATTTTTAGAATTTGGATTTTTTCCAATTATATTCTTTTAATTTTCTCAAGAGAATATTCCTCGTTATGCAATCTTACAAGATTAACTTAACCTCAACACTCACTATCAATAAATTGACTATAAACTTTAATAATAATCAAAACCCTCGATCAATTTAATTACAACAATAAATTAGATCATCAAATTAAGTCAATTAACTTGTTTTAAATACTATTCTTATATCTAATGAATTTTATTTAAATTCACTATGGGTTCGTTTGTTCAGCGAAAAAATAGTAAAAAATACAAGAAAGAGAAATTTTTTAAAATTTTTATGTGTTTGGTTAGCATGAAAAAAGAAAATAATAGGAAAAATAATTTTTTTACTTACTTGAATTTTCTCACAAATAACTAACTTTTTTTCTTTGTAAAAAACAGAAGAAAATGCAAGAAAATTGTGATCTATAATTAACTTCTCATTTTACCCTTATTTTTTTTAAATATTTTATTAGTTATTAATTTTAAAAAAATTTGGTATGAATTTGATTAATAATATAATTTGGCCCAAAAACCTTTGTTTTGGTAATTATTTTAGAATTAGGGTTTGAGACACTTTTTAAAAATTTTGTAACTAACAATTATAATTACATATTTTTTTTCTTTTTTAGATCAATTTAATATTAGTAAAGGTCATTTAGATAATTATAAAAAAAATTATAACTTTACTTTCTTTCAAATAATATAATAATTTTTTTAAAAAAAATTTCGTAAATTTTTCATTCTATCCCAATACATACATGAAAATATATTTTTTTTATTTCACTTCATTTTCTATCATTTTTATTTTTCATCATTTTTTTCTTTCTAACCAAACCAACACTACGAGAAATTCATAAAAGAATGTGGAAAGATCAATTACTCCTTTACCAATTTTTCCCGCTGCAAAAGGTTGAAAAATGGAAGATGACACAACTATTAAAGTCTGCTTGGTGAGTAATATTCAGTTTTCACTTATCAAACGAGAATCTGATGAGATTGACATTTTGGACATCCAAGGCCTTAAATGTGATCAAGACCGAAGAAGAAACCTTCTCTCACTTCTTTGATGGCTCCATCTTCTCTTAATTTCTGGATATTCCTCCTTATATCCATAAAACTCTTGGCCTTTGCTCAAGATGAAAACCAGTTCATCTACCATGGCTTCCGAGACTCCAAACTTTATCTTGATGGTCTTGCTCAAGTCCGTCCCAGTGGCCTATTGGCGCTAACTGACACATCAAGGCAACAAACTGGCCATGCTTTCTACACACTTCCTCTGAAATTCAACTCGTCTTCCTCATCTGGATCAGCTCAACCTCTTTCATTTTCCACCAATTTTGTCTTCGCCATCGTTGCTAAACTGGGAATTCCAAACGGCCATGGCTTTGCCTTCACCATCTCACCATCTCTGAACATCACTCAGCGAGGCATGACAGACCAGTTTCTGGGAGTTTTCAATTCTTCCAACGACGGCCTCACCTCGAACCATGTTCTTGCAGTTGAGTTTGATACCCTGAGGAACCCAGATTTTGAAGATATAGACAGCAATCATGTCGGTATTGATGTGAACAGCCTAAGGTCCGTTGTATCGGCTCCGGCGACATATTTTTCAGATACGGAAGGGATGAACAAGAGCTTGGAGCTTGGGAGTGGAAACCCAATTCAGGCTTGGATAGATTACGATGGGCTAAAAAATATTATCATCATTTCATTAGCTCCTGTCCCAATGGCAAAACCAAGTAAACCTCTCTTGTCGACAACGATTGATTTGTCTTCAGTTTTCTTGGAGTCTATGTTTGTTGGCTTCTCAGCAGCTAATGGACCAATTACAGTTTCTGTAAGCAACCACTATATTCTGGGGTGGAGCTTCAACAAAACTGGGCCCGCGCAAAGCCTAGACCTATCAAAGCTTCCTTCAGTTCCACGACCCAAAAAATCAAAACGAAAAGTAGCTCTAGGAGTTACAATCTCAGCCGCAATAGTACTGGTTGTGCTGATCATCACAATTGTTGTGACTGTTTACATACGACGGAAACGAAAGTTTGAAGAAATACTTGAGGATTGGGAAGTGGAATATGGGCCTCAGAGGTTCTCCTACAAGGATATCTACAGAGCAACTGATGGATTCAGCCACAAAGAGCTTCTTGGAAGGGGAGGTTTTGGACAGGTTTACGGAGGAAAACTTCCTTCTTCCAATGAACAAGTCGCAGTGAAGAGAGTCTCCCATGATTCAACACAAGGGATGAAGGAATTTGTGGCTGAAATTGCTAGCATGGGAAGGCTAAGACATAGGAACTTGGTGGCCCTCCTTGGCTATTGCCGGAGAAAGGGAGAGCTTCTGTTGGTCTATGATTATATGCCCAATGGAAGTCTTGACAAGTTTTTGCATAGTAACGAAAAACCAAGCCTTAATTGGGCTCAACGGTATCGAATCATCAGAGGAATAGCATCAGGGCTTCTATATCTGCATGAAGGTTGGGAAAAAGTTGTTCTTCACAGGGATGTCAAGGCCAGTAATGTCCTCCTTGATATAGATTTCAATGGCCGCCTAGGAGACTTCGGGCTTGCAAGATTGTATGACCATGGCCAAAATCCTGAAACAACCCATGTGGTTGGGACTTTTGGGTATATTGCACCAGAACTTACTAGAACCGGCAAGGCAACTACTAACACAGATGTCTTTGCTTTCGGGGCATTTATGCTCGAAGTAGCTTGTGGAAAGCGACCGGTAAAGCTCCGGGGAATGCCAGACGACATAATATTGATGGAATGGGTTCTGGGGAAATGGAAACAAGGAGCTATTCTTGAGGCGAGTGATCCGAGATTAGAGGGTAATTTTGTGGTAGAAGAAATGGAATTGGTTTTGAAGTTGGGTCTACTTTGCTCACAGTATAATCCAGGGTCTAGGCCTAGCATGAGGCAGGTGGTGCAGTTTTTGGATGCAAATGCAATGTTGCCGGAAGAATTTATGGATGCTGAAGGTATTGGTATGGCTGCATTAATGGGTAATGAATTTTCAAATGAATTTGCAACGACTTTCCCTTCATCAACATTTGGGGATGCTTCTACTACTAATGACCTAGCTAGTACTTCACTCCTTGGCTCGGGTCGTTAGTATAGAATGAGTTTCATGGGTATGATAATGTTGTTTTTTACTGCGTTTTTCTTTTCTCAATTTGGATGTGATTGTGTTTCAATACAAAATTCTATGTGTTTCAATACAAAATTCTATGGATTTCAAAGACAAAGTTGTAAATGTTGATTTTAAAGGGTAGCGTGTGATTATTATTTTTTTGGGTCTTCGGATTTTGTGCCAATTCCGGTGGTCGATGTATCTATCATCCTACCTCCCCCTCATAATTTCTGTAATTACAAAACAACCTCAACTTTGTAAATTGCATTGACTTTGATGTGGCGACTGGTGAGGCTCTGTCACCAAGTCACCATTACCAAACAAGAAGAAATTGATGGGAGTCCTTCCTTGCACGTTGTATGTGACACTCAGGCATCAGCATTTTAGTCTTCTTTCTGGACGCGTTGCATGGGACCACTTTGAAGATTTATCTTTCTTTTTTTTTGGGTCGGTTTTATTTATGACTTAGATCGGCATTTTAGTCTTGTTTCTAGACGCCTTGCATGGGACCCACTTTGAAGATTTCTTTATAACTAACCGAATCTTGGTAATTTTTTAATGTTAGACTATAAAAAATTTATTTATTATAAATACTATAGTTTATCATTGATCAAATTAAAAAAAAAATTAATTAAAATACTTATAAACTAGTCCGAATAGTCCAAATTGTTGAAACGAAGAAAAAGAATCTTCAAACTTTTTAGAAGCCTCACATCACATGGGCTTGAAACCCTCTGAATTTTCGTGTGTGAACCACTAACTCCTACGAAAATTAAATCAATGTTGCCGGACTTGAGCCGATAGGTTCAAGTATCAGTTCATATTGGTATAGTTTGATTAGGTCGCTTTTCATTCCATAAAATCACGATCTATGTGTCCAAGTGTGCTCTAGCTTGATAATCAATACCGTGGCTTTAAATTACCAAAATGTTGAGGATTTTTTGTTATTAAATCCTAATGTCATATCATTATTCACCTCGTTATAATTAGAGATGTCAATTGTATCATAAACTACCAAGCAAAATATGACCCAATAAAAATAAAAAAATTAAACAAGGGGTCAAATTGTAATAGACAGAATATCTTTTAGTTTTAATTGAGATAATTTAGTGGCGGGACTCCTGTGTGAATCCTCAACTCTCAGGGTGACACGTGGCCCAATAAAATTATTAGGATGTCTAGAAGATGTCGAGGGAGTGAGCCGAGGCATGGTGACACAGAGCGGCCGAGTACAACAGCTGACATTATAGTCAAAGCGATGTGACCTCGCATTTATGGCGAGATGAGTGATAGTGACAAGACAAATAAATGCGGAGTTACCACCAATTGCTCTCTGCAAGTCTATGTCTACTGTCATGATGACTGAAGCATTAATGACTGATGCGTCGAAACAACGCGATTGGTTCTCCCGAGTTCTCTGATCCACCGAGTAATCCGTGCCCTGTCGATGTCAGACGCCGACCTCTTGGATTGGGCTGCTCAGCTCGTAGTATAAATGTTCGGCTTATGGCTGAGCACTTATACCATTCCCCGAGCATTCAATTCGAGGACGCGTAAAGAGGAAACATTCACAGCACGAGGGATGGTGTGTCAGATATGAGATGTCCAGATGGGACTGAAGATCTAGAGCAATCATTGTTAATTTAAGTATAAATATCCCTCAGAAAAATGGACAAAGATATGCAAAATCAAATCATAGCTCATTGACTAAGAAACATCCCTTTGATCTTACTGACTTAAGCTTCAGAGGGGATTCGTCGGGCTCACGCCTAGCCTCCTTTCTTCTAACCTTATTTTTTCAGGTTTGCTAGTCAAGAAATCGCTACCTTACGAGATTGCAGGATCTATCCCGTGCAATTTGGCGCCATCTGTGGGAATGAAAGCATCGCTAAGTTTTGTGGTGGCAATCGTTTGATGGTGAACACTCGATCTCAGGGTGAGGGAGTAGATGTACGGGCCAGGAACGCAGATCCCGTCTGGCTTCCAATGGTCCTGGAACTGGGTTCATTAGGCAGATCAGATGGGTAGGGGCGCTCGTCGCAAAGAACATTCTCTATGGATCAGTCCCTTGGGGGGCGTGACCTCTGGGCCCACGACATTGTGGAAATAGTGGAGAAACGGATGGTCAAACGTATTAAGCAGCTTGAGAGGGAGAACACCAAGGTCCTACAACGCCTTGACAATTTCGAGCAGTTAGTCAGCACGGATGAACGCGGCCACGAGGTTGAGGACCAGGTGCCCAGTCAGGGCCTGTCCAGGTCCCTCCGGCATGGTCCCTCAGGAAAGGAATGGGTTAGACACACGCCCGAAGGGCGGGACCGCCAAGGGGGATCCTCGGCCTTTGAGGGACGGCCGGAATCGGGTCAAAAGGCGAACCTATCCAGGTGGGACCTGCGCCGAGGGATACTTGAGGGCATTGGAGCCGCCAAATCTCACGCGGAGTCCATACCCCGAAGGCCTCATGGAGATAGATCAGCTAAAGATCCTCGGGTCCCCTTCATCGCTCAATGCGACAATAAACCCGTAGTTCACTCCAACGAAGTTATTTCGTCGTTCGTCCGGGCTATCAGGGAGGCCGAAATGCCAAAAGAGTTTATCGTCCCTCGGTTCAAGATCTACAATGGAAAGACCGACCGTGAGAGCCATCTTCGGCAATACAGACAATTGATGTCAATCTATGACACCGACCAAAGGGTGTTGTGCCGAGTTTTTTCCATGAGCCTTGGGGACACGGGCATGAGGTGGTACGAGAACCTCGCCCTCGAGAGTATAGGGTCCTAGAGGCAGTTGACAGGGCTTTTCCTGGCCCGATTCATCACCAACAGCAAGAAGCCTAAGGACATTGACGCTTTGTTGACGCTCAGGCAAAAAGGGGGAGAGACGCTTCGGCAATACGCTGTCTGATATTGGGATAAGGTCAATGAGGTGGAGGCACGTTCGGAGACATTGGCCGCGGTGTCATTTAGGTTGGGACTGTCCCGAAAACAAGGTAACAATGCCAAGAAAAAGGGAAATGAAGCAGCCGTCCCGGAGGGGAGGGCCAATCCCACCCCCGAGTCGTCTTTCCTTCCAGGGGGTAAGCACGGTGTTCAACGAGCCCATTCACAAGATACTCCCCAAAATCAAAAATAAACCGTACTTCAGATGGCCCTTGAGGATGCTTGGCGACCCGTTGACAAGGAATTCGGCCCTCCATTGTTCATATCATAGAGATGTCGCCCATTTGACAAAGGAATGCAATAATTATCGGTCCTTCTTAGAGCGGTTGGTGCAACAAGGGCACCTCGGAGAGTTCATCGATAAGGGCCAGCCTGGGGAGTCGGCGGGGGAACGAGCCGAAGGACCAACTGAGGCAGCACCCGTGATCGATGTTATCCATGCCTGCACGGTGGAGCGGCCCACACACAACTCCCTCCGCTCCGAGTTGCAAATGGTGTCCCAGGCGATCAAGATGGTGAAAGGGGGGACCAGCGGTCGTCCAAATGATCTTGTGGCACTGCCGAGGTAATTCAATTCTCCGATGCCAATCTCGGAGGGGTGGTCTTCCCCCATGAGGATGCATTAGTGATCACATTGCGGGTTGGGAAGTTCGACGTTAAGAGGATATTGGTGGACTTGGGTAGCTCCTCCGAGGTAATGTACAATCACCTTTTTACAAGATGAGACTCTTTTAGAAGGATTTGGAACCCATGAAGACTTCCCTCATCGGATTCAACGGTTCCAGCGCCCTGTCCCTTGGAAAAATCACTCTCATGGTATGAGCGGGGGTGGTGACCATTCCAGTAGAGTTCGTGGTGGTAAACTCCGACTCCTCGTACAACGCAATTATGGAGATATCATGGTTGCATGCACTTAAGGCGGTCCACTCATCCTACCATCAGAAGATAAAGTTCCCAACACCACAGGGCATAATGGAAATCCAGGGTGACCAGGCCTCAGCAAAAAGCTGCTTCTACGCTGCTGTCAAAATAGGAATAAGCGGTCGGAGTCAGGAGTGCGATCCCGATGCAGTGATTGCCAAATAACAATCACAGAATGGTCGGTCAGGGGTGGACGAGCCCATAACAAAGCCTTTCGACCGTTCCACCGAAGCCTTGGTAAAGGTTCTCCTGAGCTCTGATGACAACAAGAAATACTTCCTGATAGGGGAATCACTCAGCGGTGCAGAGAAGGATGATATGACCTCCTTTTTATGCCACAATGTCGATGTCTTTGCCTAGACCCAGGCCGAGATCACAGGGATAAGTGCCGACGTGATGACCCATCGGCTCCATGTGAACCTCTCATTTAAACCCATCAGGCAAAAGGCCCAAAGAACCGCCCCCATCATGCGAAAACTATGGAAGAAGAAGTAGAGAGGTTGTTGGGAGTAGGTTCTATCGAGGAGGTGCAGTTCCCCCAATGGATGTCTAATACCGTGTGCACCAAGAAGAAAGAAGGAAAATGGCGAGTTTGTGTGAATTTCACGGACCTAAACAAGGTTTGCCCTAAGGACGAGTACCCTTTGCCCAAGGTTGATCAGCTCGTAGACACCACGGCCGACCACAGGTGCATCACCTTCATGGATACTCGAGCTGGATATCACCAGATTCCCCTGCACGAGCCAGATCAGGAGAAAACGGCGTTCATCACTCCGCGGGGGATCTACTGTTATACCATAATGCCCTTTGGTTGAAGAATGCCAGGGTAACTTACCAACGATTGATGAATAAGATTTTCAAAGACCAGCTCGGCGACACGATAGAGGTGTACATTGATGACATGTTAGTCAAAAGCAAGGAGAAGACTGACCATCTCCGCCATCTCGGGACGACATTTTCCATCCTCCGAGAATATGGCCTAAAACTTAACCCCTTGAAATGCGCCTTTGGAGTAAGTTCTGAAAAAATTTTGGGGTATTTAGTCACTCATCGGGGGATCGAAGCAAACCCCGAGCAGATACAGGCGATTCAGAATGTCCAAGTGCCCAAGACTGTCAAGGA